ATCTCATAAATTGCTTTCAATGAAGAAAACCGCAGATTATTTCTATTTTAAACCTTCACCATCATCTTCGACTCTGCTAATAAAACACAAGTGAATCCTTTCAAGGCGTGGGCATACATCGGAGTGTATGCAGTGTACACAAGCGAACCTTTCTTATGGGGCTTTGTAGTCGGCACACGTGTTTTACAACACATCGTATCAAAGACGCACACACGGGCACTCTACGGTGGATTTTATATACGTGGACGTGACACAAAAGGAGCAAGAGCGGAGGCTGCGCGTGCGCCGAGTCGCCGACCCGGCCGGCACGAGTCAAACACGTCTCGAATTCATATTACTGCCGTTACTACGCCGGCTATAAATATCGGTTATGCAAATTATAGACAATTCGACCAATTCATAAAATAGTTATCAATATTGAATCGAGAATAGTCGATTGATAGACGACACTGTAATCGCTCGACCACCACCGTCGCTCCATATATCACTGGGTCAGATTAGTAAATTGAATTCACGGTGCCGAAGTAAGCGTGGCTAAATGGCGTGACGTCGATGCTATTGTTACCAAAATATATAGGTTTGGTACATAAGGTAAAGACGCGGTGACAACGGAGTGTCCACCGACCATTAATGATCGTCATCCGTCAACGTCGCGACACAAAGCATGGCAGAGGACTGTCCAGCATCACAATAAGTCATTCCCATCAATACAGACACAGATACAGCTATTGGAGGCGCGCACAAATCTTTGAGAACGTAAGATAAGCAAAAGAACGACTGAACTCTTGAGAAAACATACGCGTTGAAGATTAGCACGCGATTTCAGCTTTAGTCTCGTCTCTAAGATACGTTTTAATGTTTTTTATTTTTATTCGATGATTATAATCGGATTTAGCGCGTTTAAACATAACGCAATCACGTTAAACGTGCGCAGGTGTTCAAACTTTAATGGCCCATTAAATTTTCACGAAATAATAGAGTCACTAATTCTTTGTCGATTAGAGATTTAAAGGTACACTTTTATAAAAGGTGAGTAACAGCCAGAAAAAGCTTCCAAACCTAACATGTATAATGTCACTGTTCGTTGATTGTGGTGTAGGCTGTAGCAGTAACAAACAACGTGTACGCCCAAGGCGTTTGATACGGATCACCATTGTCACCAGTCAGATTACAATATCAGGGTTTCACAATATCCCTACGACATATTATTACTATGCATTATGCTGTACAAATTCATATCTTCTAAGTAGTAGGTAGACTAACTTAAGTCAGCTTCCAACGAAGATTTCACGGGAGAACCGTATAATAAGGCCCAGCATATGACTAAAACTTGTTTCCCGCATATTAATACCGTTTCGCGAGAGTTCCCGCCATTGTCTGTGCCACGTTCAATGGCAGATCAGCCGAGATTAGTAATGTGGGCCATATCGCGATGAAAGCCACGACTGCCACCGGGGACACGACAGACGTGTGACGACGTCACGAAACTGGCGCAACGCTAATTACATAGACATTGGACCTACTAAAACATAATGTATGTAGATTAAGAGCAATTGCAGCAAATCGATTCATGATCATGAGCTTTTCAATCGTGAAACTTACATTATTTCTGCGACAGAATGTAAAAACATCTGACCTAGGTGTATCAACTTATTCGAACTACATAATTAGTATTCCAAACGTAACTAAGGCTGACATTTTCATTTCAATATTTTATGTAAGTAAATATTAAACATTCGATCGAGTCTACTCTACTGCAATGTCAATAGTCATCACGTACAGACACTAAAAGGCAACAACATAATAAAAATATCACTATTCACTAACGTTCCTTTTATAGTCGAAACAAAGTTTATTTAGGACTTATTTTTATCTTGTTTGTCTCCTATTATAAACAATCGCCTATGTTGTTTTACGACGAAGGTGTAAAAAGCGCCAATGGCTTAACATGCCGCGAAAACATCTTGTGTTTTATGTATACGAATGGGACGGCGCAAAAAATACTTATACTGTAGGCTTGAAGAGATAGTGAAAGGTCACCGACTCATGATGCTTGACCTCGCTTGTGACTGGACAGACCGCGTGAAAGACTACTAAGTATTATGTAGAAAATTAAGTAGTAATAAAGTGGACACCTAAAAATAAGACACAAATCTTCACAACACTGTATTAAAACTAATATTCGAAAGAATAGAGTCGCAACTTTCGTTTAGAAAAACTTTTGTTAAAATGCTTCAAAACCTGTTTTGATTTCGCAGTGCTGGAATTCGAATTCATAAGTAAGGCCAAAAATTAAGCTTTCGCATTCCAATCACAATAATATTTACTCACATTATAAAATAAATCCGGCAAGATTGTCATAAAGGTAACGTGAGAATCAGTCAGGTTCATAACTGGGACACTTGCAGCTGATTGATTTGAACTAGGCCAAGCAGCATTCATCGCAATGATACACATGAGTCTTGGTATAATTGTGGACCTTGGGTAACTGTCAACAAATTGTAGGATATAGATCCGATGGCGTCCAATTATCCGCATATTAGCGAAGTAACGGTGGCGCGTCCGCCTCGTATGGGCGCGCCGTGCGCCCGCGCCTGTCCCGGACCATCCGATCAATACGAGCCAATAAAATTCATGCATTAATCGAACTGGCTTTCAAATAGGCTGAGCTTTTAACGGAAACTTTATTTAAGTGCTGCCCATAAACAAAGTTCGTTTAGAGTCGTTTACAACTCTACACCTGTGAAGTTTAAGTATTTCAAAACACTTTTAAGTATTTCTAGTCGAATGGGAATTAATTTAACGATGGAACTCTTTCGTGTTGGTCTGTTGGAGTACCATTTCTTTTCGTGTTTTTTGTCGCAGAGCAATAATTGACACCACTAACCATTTGACATACTTTTTATGAGCGGTAAAAACGCAACTCTACATAGATTTGTTACTGCAAATGGGTCCCATAACGTCACTAGTTCGCGAACTCAATTGACTAAAACATATTGATTTCAGTTAACTAATTTTACAGCAAATTATTGAAAACTTGATTTTCAAGAACGAAGTATTTTTTAAAGAAGGGTGCTTTTGAATTACTGATTAACGGTGTCAACTAGGCCTACCTAATTCTAGTTACTTTACTTCATAGTCGAACTACAATCCATAATGTTTTGATAAGGTTCAGTCATTGAGTAAATTTATTAAGTTATGGAAAATATAGAGACTATTAGAGACATTACAATTTATTCTGTACTAATGGATTTGCATGAGTACCAATGCTGATTGCTGAGCCAACCACTCATGGCTTCAAACACGAAATGACCAACCATTATCTCCATAGACATTCTACTACTTACCTACTTAATAATAATTGCGGGCTCAAAAAACTGCCGGCTGTTCCGCGGCACGTGCCACATACACCTGTTATACTACATCCATAGCCATACTTATACAAACAAGTGCCTATTTACTAAGCTACAAAAATAACATGCCATTATTTTTTGTCAGGGATACAAAATTACCGCAATAGTAACGCGGTTATTATAGAGTAAGGTGTTTAGGTAAAATAAGTAGTAAGCACGAATTTTGAGATGGTGGAAAATTAAGTATGCGACATCCGAATGACTCTCCTTCAATATGTTCGAGTGCATTGCATAATCGTCGTCTTTAAAGTCATTTAAATAAGTATGCATATTCAAAGAGAAAGTACTGAACGAAATGGTCAAGCTATTTGTATCATACGAAACGAATTGGAGACAAAAGACTCTACATCTGTATCGCAGACGAACTATAAGTTTTTTTACCAAACACCTTCTCAATAGCTCATTGTGTATCATAAAAAGCGTTACAATTTCTAACAAGAATTTCAATCACATCCTTCCTACACATTTTTCGACACGTTTGAGCGTATCGGTAGCTCATTTTAACTTCGACCTAACGGCCACATAAAAATAACATCTAATAATTCCGAAGCTTGTTCCTATGTGGGAGTAGGTACTATGGCATTAGCCGAAATTACAAAAATCATTAGTTTTACGACACCATAGCTATAGGTGGCTCGTAGGACGCGATTTGGCGCCGGTCGGTTCAAATTTCGTTAGCGAAATTGCCATTAACGATCAGCATTACGAAATTGTAGTCGGCTCCTTAAATGGAAAGCTTTTGACAATTTTATATGATTTAGATGGCAGTGTTATAGTATTATTCAAATAATAGAACGTAAGAGCTCTGTGGGATGTAAGTAGGTAGAGATTCTCACAAGAGAAAGAATCTTAGTTTTCAATCTCATGATCTTCTAAAATTTCAGAAGATTTATGTAGAATTTTCGTGATAAACTTGAGGAGAATGTCGCTCTGCTACAGTCCATTATATTACTCTATTTAGAGTCTATCTAACAACGATGAAAAGGAATCTGATTTTACAAGGAAAATGTAAATAGTAAAGAAATGCTTCAAACAACCATGTAAAGGAATCTGATTTTCCAGAAAAAAAATATAGAGAAATGGTTCGAAAAGGACAAGTTTAAAAAAGGTACCTACCTAACCTAAGTACTGGCATGACGGCTGAAACACGTAGAGTATGAAGGTATGATGAAGATTATGGATGATTGCTGATCTGTGGTTACACAAGACTCGATAACACCCTTTCGTAATCTTCCCATAAGCCTCGTTGGGCTGAAAACCACTAATCTTATACAATTAGGATTATCCAAAAAGTGTCCTGGACAAGCCAAAATTCTGCTGCCGAAAACTGCCACCCAGAACATTAAGGCCGTTTTTTATGTAGGTACTATTTCTGAGAAAGGATTATAATAATACCCATAGTGGTGATATCATTTCTAAAATAATACAACAAGGTTCTCTTGAGTTAATAGAATAAAACCATATTGGAGCCGATTGGAAGGTGAATTGAACTTTTACAGTTCACGCTTTATTTGATTAGGATCATTTCAAATAATAAAAGAGCATTATTGTTAAATAAACAAGGAATAAAATGATGCTTTAACTTACCAATAACTCTTCAGCAGGTAGCAATTCACACCTCTAAGTGTCCGTTTTCTCACTTTGTTCCAAGAAAAAAATAATCCATAGCACCTAACTTATATCACGTTTGAGATTAGGTCCAGTCACTCTAACACTGTTTTAATCAGAATACATTTCTCTACACTAGAACCATATCTAATCGAACTAACGAGCAAAAACACCAATTAAAATAAGGATACTTTTATGTAGTTCAGTTCTATCCTCAAAAACTTTATATCCAATTGTTCCAAAGACACTGAATTTAAAAATTAAAAAGTTTATATTCCAAACAATGTTTTCCCGCCAACACAAGTTTTTTTTTTGATCGCGAGAAACCGGCTATGGAGGCACAACACACGCGTCTAACCGCGAAGGAAGCCGGTTGAGCGCTGTTGATGTTTTATTATTTTGAGTCGCTACGAGTTACGGCGACGCTAGAGCGAGCGATCCAGGAGAATAGGGATGCAACAAAAAAACCTAAAGGGCTACGCTTGCATAAAAAACACATTAGTGGTTCTTGTAGAGGCCGGAGATGTAATTACTTGGATGTAAGTACCCATAGGACTATGTTTCTGGGAACCTCGCCATGCAACGATTGAGATGTTTTTAAGGAAATGGTCGTAAGTGTACTAAAATCAACTACCTCTCGTTCCCTAACTAGTTGAGATTTTAGGCTAATTCGATACTGAAGCGTAACTAATAAACTAACTACATAACTAACACAGTTAATAACGCTACCTCTACAACTAATGCCCTGCTAGTAGTGCACATACATTTAAAATTATTCTACACAATAATTATGTAAATACATAGAACATTACATTAATTACAGTCGCAACAGTCAATTCGATGGAATCTTATTCACACACACTTTCATGGTGCAGCCACTGACCTCGACTCGCGCCATTGCATAAAACCAGTAAGTTCAAAAATGTAACATAATTAATAAAAGTAATTTTTAGATGTTCCGCTCAAAATTCGTAAGTATGTATATTTGCTATAGTTATTATGCATGGGACGCCCCGTGAAACTATCACGTTTTAATCAAAATCTAATCGAAATTTTGTCTACTCTAAAGGTGGTGAAATGGTCGACCAAGTTGTGTATCTCCATTTTGCAGATCTACCTCAATCATGATAGGCTTGCGTTTAAGATTTTTAGATTCTGTAAGGAGTACAGTCAGCGTCAAATAGTTCGTGACGCCCAAAGTGGGAAAAAAGTTGACCACACAACCTTATTCCAATTGTAATAAAGACAACTTTTTGGCTACTTCTTTTAGGTGTCACGAACTATACACATCGAAAGCTTGATGGGGAGTATCGGTGGGTTGTAGGTGTAATAAGAAATCTCAACCTTAGGTGAGAACTTATCACGCAACAAACTCCTTTAAAGTCAGAAACATAGAGTGCATTCGAATAGCGATTTACTAAGCGATAACAGCAAATAGCGATTGACGATAGCGTCAGTAAAACCGTCATTCTTCGTTCATTCAAATTCTTCGTTCGAGATTATATTTTTGGTATTTTGGTATTTATTTAGCAACATCAAATTTCGCTATCTCTTCTAGCTGTTATCAATGCCAAGTTAATACTCGTACTTACCTTGTAGTTGAGCTAAGCTGCCGCCGATGTGATGATGTCCTAGTCGCGATAGTTTTCACCACTTGGTGGTTTATGAGTGAGAACAAAATTTGTGTCCCCAAAGTTACTAGCTAGCTAATGCAAAAAGAACTTTATGCACTACATACAATGGTGGTATTAGATGGCGACAAACATCGCAAATATTGTTTTACAAGTGGGTATTCAATTGAATGTACAAGATACAGCTCTAGAGATCTAAAAAAGTGTGTAATACATGATTCAAATGATTTATTCCTCATTTAAAATATAAACAATTATGTATTTACTTAGATGAGAAACTACTGTTAAATTATTGTGGGTAAACAATTAAAGCTTATGAGAGGTAACAAATTAAATTAATTATAACTATGTACCTGATTAAGTTATTTAACTTTACAACAGTATTATTGCTTGTGCTATTATTAGAATAAACTTACATACACAATACTTATACAAAAAATAACAAGCACACTCACAAAGATATTTAAAATCAGCTCCCTTGATTCTCTTCAATTTCTGTTTCAAGTTTTTCAACATCCTCAATACTTATGTCCCCTGAAAATTCAGCTTCTTCATTCTCATTCTTTTTAATATTTCCTCTTTTTAGGAAAGGTTCATGTAAAGCTTTATACAGTTTCTTGGCCTTAGTTGACCCAAAGCCAGGACATTCAGCCAACCTACTTTCTGTAGCCTTAATTATATTTTCTAATGTACCAAATTGTGTTAATAGTGTCATTGCATCAGTTTTGTTCACAGGCTTTATTGAAGTAAGTGCATTTATGATCTGAAAAATTACATTAAAGTTATAGTATTTGCTAAACAATACTTCATTTCAAAGAAATAAAGAAAGGAAAAGTGTTTATTTGATATTAATTAAACAAAATGAATAGAAGAGTTGATACCTTTTGATGTGGATCATTCTCCACTTTCTCCATGATTTGATCTGGAGGTTTATTTTCAAATATTTTGTAATTTTCTACAACTTTTCCTGCTTCCTCTGGACTCCAAGCTAACATGAGAGTCAAGTCTGTCAACAGACATATTCTTGTTAAATTCTTCAAAGGTGTGTGTGGATCTTTTAAATCAACCTACGGACGGAAAAAAATGGAAAACATGAACACTTACAGCAGACTTAAGAGTTAGAATGAACTTATAAGTTTAAAATTTATCTAACCTGTACCAATAGCACCCGCAGTTCATACTTTTTACCCAATTCCTTTAATCTATTGTTGATATAATCGGGATTTAAATTGTGATAACGCAACGAAAGGAACAATATGCATATTGTTTTACCAACTTCATAATCAGGTATAATGTCATCATACTCCCAGGGAACGCTTGTGATAAATTTCAGTAAAGGATTTCCTCTCTGTAACAAAACTTATTAATGCAAAAATATCTTAGACAAACACAAAACAGTAAAAATATGAATGCATAAAGACATACAGACCAACCTGCTTTTGGTTTACTAGAACACAGTGAGTTTTAGATGAAGCTGGCTTTGAAACTGTTTCTTTTGAAGTACCTGGGAATACAATATAACTACTGAGACACTTATCGTCATGGATAACGTTAATGAAAACGTGAAATTCAAGTAAAACATTTGGTAAAAAAGTTTAAAAGTTAGAACCTACCAGGTTGTTGAATTTCTGGATTTTGTTCCAACTTTGGTTGTTTTGGAGACGTAGGTTCACATACATCTGCTAGCAAATCATCAAAACCGTCGTCCATTTCCATCTTAAGAAATAATAATACCTTGGCTTTTACAAAAAGAGCAAAAAAGAGTTCAAACAACAACAACCACCCAAACGACGAACTGTCACAAACCATAGAGAAAAGTAATACATTCACAAACTGTCACTCGCTCGCTGAACTCATCTGTGGCTGAAACAAAACTCAATTTATTTGACAGATAGCTAGCGAAGCACCAAAAAAATTAAACAAAACGTAGCCATACTCCAAAAAAAAAACACAATTTCCGAACGAAAATATAATTGTCAAAAAGTAGTCAGCTGTCACCTATCTGCCAAAAAAAAAGCACAGATAAAAAAAGTGCCAATTTGTGTTTTTGCAGTTTGTTGGCAATTTTGTTGGTTTGTTGCTGAGTCGTTTTTTCAGTCCTTTTCCGTAATTATTCCTAATTTTAGGTTTATTTTAAAACATTATGTGGAAAGTACAAACTATATAATTCATGTATCAATAATGATTTGGTGTAAATTATTCAAAAACTTGTCCTAAGACGTCTTTGCTGATTGTTTACAAATGCATAACCTTACACGACTGTTTTAACATGTCGCCTTAGATTAATTTAATTTATTAATCTAAGCATGTCGCTATCATGAATAACTTACCGAAAACAAATAAATCCAATTGTGATTTTGAGGACGATGAAGTGTTCGACGACTCTTCATTTCTGGCGAAGTTTGACAGTACTTCGGTCAAAGAATCCAGGTTTTCCGAGATAAATGACTCTCACAACAAAAGTGACCTCAACGTCAGGTAAATAAAGTCCAATGATAAATTACTTTCCATATTTATTACCTTTAGATTTACTTTTTGAATTGGATTAGTCCCTATTTGCTACTTAACTTCTAAATCCTATGACCAGTCTATATTGACTGTGTTGTTAATGTAGCAATTTTTTCAGTGCCTTATGCTGTGACGAAGAAATCAGTGGCTATGACAAACTGACAGGGAAGACATGGATCTATCCAACAAACTACCCAGTGCGGGACTATCAATTCAACATTATCAAGGCTTCCCTATTAAAAAACACATTAGTAAGTACTATAATTTGATGTAACTTGTTTGTTCAGCCATATTTTAGGTATTATGACATGCTTGTTATAAATATAGATGTTACAGTCAAACTCGTAAGTGGTCAAAACCACTTTTGACTGCAAAAATCAGTCAAAAGTGGTTTTGACTGATTATGAATTTTGGTAACATAGACATGTAAATAAAATCCCCTATTTATCAGAGTACAGCTGATGGTAAAAATAATTATTTTTGTTGTAAAATAGGACCTATTAGAACTACCACTGTTTTGCTTGAGGTGCAGTACATTTATTAAAATTCATTTTTTATTTCTTGATGTTTAGCTTAAAGTTATTATATTTAAAAACTAGGATGAAGCTGCAATGCAGGACATTTTGTGAATTAAAATTATTATCTACATTTTTTTCTACAACTTTTAGGTCAGCCTACCAACAGGGCTGGGCAAAACCTTCATAGCTGCTGTGATAATGTACAACTTCTACCGCTGGTACCCTCTCGGCAAGATTGTGTTCACAGCGCCCACCAGGCCTCTAGTGGCTCAACAGATAGAAGCTTGCTATCATATTATTGCCATCCCACCAAATGACACAATTGAAATGACAGGTTGGTTAAATAATTTCTATGTTTATTCCTAATATTATAATAACATCAATGAAACACCTGTGTAGTGAAACTTGAATTTTCACTATTAAAACAATTCTCCAGTGTATTCCAATGTTTATTTTATTCTTGTGTAATTTGTTGCTTTAAACCAAGAACATTATTTCAATTGCAATTTTTAAAAGCATCAAATGAGAATTGATCTCCCTCTTTTATTTTAGGTCATATGCATGTCAACACCAGAAAACAGCACTGGCAAAACAAAAGAGTGTTCTTTGCAACACCCCAAGTGATTTACAATGACATAAAGTCAGGGATATGCCCAGGGGAGAAGATCAGATGTCTTGTCATCGATGAGGCTCACAGGGCCAGAGGCAACTATGCCTACTGCCAGATAATGTCAACCCTGACTGAAATGGGACACAAGACTTACAGGATACTGGCTCTGTCCGCTACACCTGGGAGTAAAGTTGATGATGTCATCAGTGTAAGTGTTTATTGAGCTTTTTTTTTTTTTTTTTTTTTTAAATAAAAGATTATTAGTAATTTGTTATTACACAAATTACTAATACCCCCGTTAGCCCCTCGTACTAAGCTAAATATGCTTGTGCCACGAGTGAGCTCACCACAATAGTCGAGCGGCGGCGGGGACCGAACCCGCGTTCCCCGGATCACGAGTCGGCCAGTCCGACCCCTTCACCGTTCGGCTATCGTGGCTACAAGCTTGATTGAATGTACTGTTTCATTTTAACAGGTTTCCTGAAATCCATAAATTAGCAGGACTTAGGCGGTTATCACACTGCGCCGCGCTCCGCCGCGGAGCGCGGGGCGACAGATTTAATAATTGTATGCAAGTATCTCAGTTTGTATAGAAAACACGCGCGGCACTTCACACTGACAACGCGTCCGTGTGAAGTAATTTTTTATATGAAAATCACGCGCTCTGCGGCGGAGCGCGGCGCAGTGTGATAACCGCCTTAATTTTTAACCTACTGAGCATTTCAGAAACAAAGGGGCCCTTTTCCTCTACAAAAAGTGAAATTATATTAGAACTTTTCACTACTTTGGGGCTCTGGGCAAGGGCCCAGATTGCCCAGTGGAAAAGAGGGCTCTGTAAATTAAATTAAAGTCTCCTATAATATCTAAATGACTTGATTTTGGTATTAATTAAAAATATACATAACTTAAGCATTAAAGAGAACAAGTGCTTGTATCTCAATGGCAGCAACTTAGATGACAGTCCACAGTGGAGATGTGATTATATTTGGTTACTTTACAAGCTCTCCCTGTTTGATATGTTAAAATCGACCATCCATAAACTACGTTAGGTTCTGCTGTACGAATTCATGCAATCACATTGAATACATTTGGATTTGCATATTCCTCAGGTAGTGAAAAGCCTGCACATATCTCACTTAGAGCTGAGAGCAGAGAACTGCATCGACGTGGCGCCCTACAGCCACTCGCGGAAAATCAACACCGTTATCGTCCCACTGGGGCCTGAACTCACACAGTTGAGGCAGCAATATGTGGAGGTGATGTATTAAATGATAATTTAATCATATAGCTATGACTAGTTTAAATGATAAAAAAAAATATTGATTTTGCTCATCAGGGTTTCCTTAATAAATTATTGCGCTCATGAGTTGGCGCCACTGGCGAGTGATAGGACCTAATTGACAGTGGCGCGAACCTGGTGATTGCAGATGTATAGTACGTTTCATTCACGAAGACGCGCGGGGAACATGACATGATCCGACCAATCCGAGCGTCATCATTGTAGTTTTCGCGCGCACTCACGGACAACAATGCCAACAATGACGCTCGGATTGGTCGGATCAAACTTTATTTGTTAATTAATACATCAACTTACAGTTGATAAGACTTTTAACTTTAAGACTAAACTAATCACCCGTTTTCTGCCACAAATATAGATATTGGACAGTTACGCGCGTCGCCTGAAACAATTCAACATACTCCCGCAAAACTTAGGCAACCTGTCAAAAGGACGAATCGTGATGCTCTACAAGGAATTTCAAACAAAAGATAGGAGTGCCAGGTAATTTGACTGACTTTTTAGAACATTATTCATCTGTTAAGTAAACAAAAGTATTCCCTAAGGGTATTTCACTACGACCGGTCCTGCGCGGGCCGCGACCTTCATGAGATCATCAGTCCGCTAAATTAGAATGTATTTCACATTTTATTAACCCAATGAATGTCATTCTAACGCCTGTGTTTAGCACTAGAAGCTTAGAAATCTACGAGTATAAAATTCGCGAACTATCTAACATCATAGGTTCATCTTACCAAAATCTATGGGAGAGTCGCGTTTTGACCACTCATAAAAAGTTAGTTACGATATTAACTAACGTGTCGTCATTGTTCGCGCACGTTTACTAACAAGATTGGCTACTGCAGCCATATTAGGGCACATGATAGGGCAGCACAGTGTAGCCCTGTTATTGCGGGCTAAAGGGAATTTTTGGCAGTTACCGTAGCCGAAAGCGGCTTGGGAGAGTAGTAGTTGTATTACCTACTGTTGGGATCAACCTCACATCACTATAAACTTGTCCAATCTTCTTACAGACACCCCCAACACAGCTACATAATGAAAGACTTCACGATCCTCATCGCCTTGTACCACGGGCTGGAGTTATTAGTCAAGCACGGCTCGCGGGTGTTTCTCAACTTCTTTGACGAGCACCCGGAGAAATCCTGGATCCAGGCGGACGACCGATTGACGGTGCTGTTGGAGAGACTCCGGGATGATTTGGGAATCAACCCACTGGCACTGGATAGGAGCATACTGCCTGATGGGACTATTCCTGACGTAAGAATTTTCTATTAAATTTTTCTAGAGCAAATTAATAGTCATAGTCAACGAACTCCTAGTATGTTCTTCTGATTAATTCGTTGCGGGTGCAATGGCAGTTTAACTTTCCCCCGAGACAAACTTGACCTTCATTGGTTGGGTTTTTATGGCGGTCAAGCTGTAGATCCTGGCTACACAGGAGTTGCAGTGGTGGGAACGAGAGGTGGGAATAGTCCACGTTTAGTCATAGTCAACGTTTTTTAGACTAGCTGTTCAGTATAAAGAAAGATTTCTTATTAATAAAATGTTCTAAAATTTTCAGATGTGATTTTTTATTTTTATTTTTTTTAGATGCCAAAAGATTTGTGTTTCGGACATCCAAAATTTTATAGACTGAAAGAAATAATGATGGAGCACTTCACAAGAGCTAAGAAGAATGGACAAGATACGAGGGCAATAGGTAAGTCAAAGTAACTATTTCTAAGAGCTAGTGAACACCAGACCTACGTCATTTTATAAAAGCTGAAAGTTTGTATACCATAAAAGCTGTTTTTTATAAATCATATTTTGGCAATAATAAGGAGTAGTTTTATAATAATAATAATAATAATAAATCTTTGGACAATTTCACACAGCGCCAGCTAGCCCCAAAGTAAGCAACTTAATGCTTGTGTTATGGGTGCTAGCTTAACGGATATACTACTTATATACTTTTTTTTTTAAATACATACATATTATACATAGTCACACCCAGACCCGTCACAGAAATTAAAATTCATCATTTCAATTTCTGCCCGGCCGGGAATCGAACCCGGGACCTCTCGGCATTGTAGTCCGTTCTGAACCACTACACCAAACGGCCGACAGATTTTGCCATCAGCCAGACAGTTTTGACAGTTCCAACTCCTTGCCAGACAGTTTTTTAGGGTAGCAGCCAAAGCCACGATGACCCAAACTTCATAATTCACCAACATTATATCCTTTATGGGGAGCATACGCTGACAAACTTTCAGCTTTTATAAAATGACGTAGGTCTGGCGTTTACTAGCTCTTAGTCTATTCTATAGTGTTAGTGTCCGTCTGAAGTGTTTTTCAACCCTTTTAAAACGATTGTCCCTCCTTTGCAGTGTTTTGTGAATACCGCGAAAGTGTGAACTTAGTGCACTGCTTACTGCTACAGTGCAGACCGCTGATCACGCCGCAGATGTTCGTCGGGCAAGGGGCTTCAGGTAATCAACTATGTATAAGAATGAATCTATCAAATTATCGAAATATTTGAAAAGATTATGAATAGATTTTTCAATAAGTGATTCAATAGGGGCTATCGTTTTTATACTTAACAGTTGGCACCCCTGGCGATTGACAGGACCTTACTCTACAGTGGCGCCATCTTGATGAGTGCAAATGCGATAGTCCTCCTACCACTTTAGCGCTCACCAGTTGGTGCCACTGTCTTCGCTACTAGCAAGTGACAGGACCTTACTCTACAGTGGCGCTAACTGGTGAGCGCTAAAACGATAGCCCTCATTGAAACTACCCCACTTTTGATAAAAGTTTCCATTGTTGTAACAGGTTTTGTGGTTTCTGCCTTTATGTGAAGTGGAACAGTATGGGAGTGGTGTGTTATATGTTACGCTTATTACGTACGCTAAACCTACGTCCAGATTTTCAGTGACAGCTCTGTTAGGCTGCAGTTAGACGACGCAAAAACTTTAACGCGGCCGCCGCGTGTTAGACTAGTTACTAGGTTTCGTTCATAGAAAATTTAAACTGAATATTACCTAGGTTAACGTCAGCTACGCGGCCTTTTGGCGTACCAAATAAAGCTATCGCCCGGCCGCCGCGCGGCCTCTCAGCATCCCATATAAACGGGCCCTTACGATATGACGTAACAGTAACACCCTTTCTAGACCACCTTAGTAACAAGCTTTTAGCCTCCACGACTCACTGTTTTCAAATATGCCACCTTTTTCAGGCAAAGACGGCAAAGCGGTGGTGTCCCAAAAGCAACAGCTTCGCGTAATGCGCGCCTTCCGCGAGGGCGCCTGCAATGCACTCGTGGCCACCTGCGTCGCTGAAGAGGGACTGGATGTGGGCTCGGTTGACCTTATACTGTGCTTCGACATCTCCTCGCGGTCGCCCGTACGACTGGTGCAAAGGTCAGTATGTTATTAGCGCTCACCAGGTGGCGCCACTGTCTAAGACACTAGAGAGTGACAGCAGACTGTTGAGTTGAACCCATTATGTGTAATAGACGTCACCTTCCTCTCCCCTGTACTACTTGCGCAGAGTTCATTATGACGAGTATTAGCACATACGAGATGGCGTCACTGTCTTAGACTAGTCTCGATAGTGCGAGGGCGCCTGCAACGCGCTCGTGGCCACCTATATCACCGAGGAAGGACTGGATGTTGGATCTGTTGACCTCATACTGTGCTTTGACATCTCCTCGCGCTCGCCCGTACGACTGGTGCAAAGGTCAGTAGAAGAACTGGCGTATTTGTGAACAACAGATGGCGCCAATGTCTTAAACACTAGCTAAAGACAGCGGGTCTAGATGTTGACGTCTCCTTTTGACTATGGTGAAAACGGGCATTAGAAACTTTCAGCATTAGTCGACCTCATACTGTGCTTTGATATCTCCTCGCGCTCGCCCGTACGACTGGTGCAAATGTCAGTAGAAGAGCTACCGTATTTGCACCCACCAGATGGCGCCAAAGTCTTAGCCACAAGAGAGTGACAGCAGGCTTGTGACGTCTCCTTTCGCTCGCCCGCGCGACTAGTGCCGAGAAAGAGGTCAGTAGAAGAACTACCGTATTTACACCCACCAAGTGGCGCCATAAAATCACCATTATTTTAGACATTAGCGAGTGACAGCGGGTCTAAACGTTCACGTCTCCTTTCGCTCACATGCAAACAAAGGTAAGTACTTCCAGTATTAGCGCTCACCAGGTGGCGTTACTGTCTTAGACTAGACGTGTCTTCCGCGAGGGCGCCTGCAACGCGCTCGTGGCCACCTATATCACCGAGGAAGGACTGGATGTTGGATCTGTTGATCTCATACTGTGCTTCGATATCTCCTCGCGGTCCCCCGTACGACTGGTGCAGAGGTCAGTATGAATCAACGAAGAAGAAAAGAAGGCTACCGTATTTGTATTCATAGTCTGGTCTGTGAGCACGTAGAATTTTGTCCAATGACCCCATGCTACCCATCCTTATCGCTCGTGCGTAATTATATTGCTATCGCGACTGTGCGACGGGCGCCCGCAGTGAGTGTGCGAGCGCGACAGCAACATAATTACGCGCGAGCGATAAAGATGGGTAGCTTGGGGTCATTGGACAAAATTCTACGTGCTCGCAGACCAGACTATAGTAGGCCACTGTCTTAGATACTAGCGCCATTGCCTTAGACTAAAGCCTGTGGACGTGGGCATTCTTTACCTCGTACTGTGCTTAGACGTCACCTGTTTCCCTATACGACTTGTGCAAAGTTCAGTATAACCAGTATTAGCACTCTCCAGATGGCGCCACTGTGTCATACTAATGTCTCGCTAGTGCGAGCGAACATAAATGCTAATTAGTAGCTGTAAAACATTTCTTATCAATAGATGCGGCCGAACGGGTCGAGAGCGAGGCGGTCAGGTTCACATACTTGTCACAGAGGGCAGGGAGCACCAGGTATGTTCATAAAATGTTACATGTATTACTGCAAGATCAAATATTTCATTTGACCTAAAGTATTATAATATATAGATGACCCACGCTGAACTGTCCCACCAAACTCAATGACAGGGGGGCGCTACCATCGTTCAACTGTATGGTTTCCAACATGGCAAAAATCGGAACCAGCGATCCGGTATTTACGGTGGCGCCCCGCTGTCAATGTCATGGATAGGACAGTTCAGTATTTTGGAACTATAACTCTATTTATCGCTTCTTTCAGACGTTATTAGATTGCATGCGCCAACGGGACGGGTTGAACCAAAAGATATTACAATCGAAAGAAGTAGAGAACAACCTATACAAACAGAACCCGAGAATGGTGCCGCGCGACTTTACGCCGCAGTGCCAAAAGATGTTCATCGCTATCGCTAAGAAAGACGACCCCAAGAGCAAAGACAAAGAAGCTGATAAGGCTAAAAAGGTAGATATTCGTTTTTACAGGTACATGTCACAGTTACACAGATTTTATAGTTGGACGACACTTTGAAGACGGCAGACGGGGTCATAAATTACCTTTGTAATAGAGACGCAAATTACTGGAATATCGATAAAAGGCAATGGGGTTTTAATCATCGCTAATATGGTAGCTGGTAAAAGAATTTGCAGAAAAGTTATTAATGTCTTTGCGCCGAGTATAGATTTTTTAAATGAGTAAGTGGAGAAAATAGGCAATTTACATGTTTTCATATTTTCACAACTGGAATGTTTTCCTTAGGGCCAAAAGGATTTAAGAACTATGCTGCTGGCTAAGCCTTCTACTAGCGATTCGCGCACACCCAGTAAAGACACGACACCTCTGGAGTTGATCACGGAAAATGAGTTCCAGGAAATGTTTACCGATGGTTTTGCACTAAAGGATACAGAAAAAGCGCCCCAAGAGTTATGGGCTATGAGCAAAGGTAAGATCATCATTTCAGCCACAGGACGTCCACTGCTGAACATAGGCCTCCCCCAATGATTTCCACAATGGCTGGTTGGTTAAGGTAAGATAATTTGTATTAATCGAGACATTTGTTACTAGGTTTAATAACGATGTCATGAATGCGAAAGTTCATCAAGTAACTTTGCCTATGCTTTTGTCAGAATCTAGCTGAGATATAGCTATAAATTTTCCTCATTTATTTTCCATTTTATGCTCATTTATTATATTTTATTGCCATTTTAAGCAGAGAATTTTTATTCTTTTTTATGTACAAACTTCCAGAAAGAATCAAATCACTCAGCATGGAAAGTCAACAGACGCTTTCAAAGTGGTCTACATGGCTGGAATGGCAGCGAACTTTACAGAAAACTGTCAACATCGGCCATTCGAAGGATAGCGAAATACTTGCGTCGCTTCTGCAGTATAGTGACGCTAAACGGTTCGAAATGCCTGCCTCTACGCAAAATCCAAGTAAGTTTATAATCCACATGGTCATTAATTTATTTGCTTGGTAAGTAACTCGGTTAACTTATTTATGTATTTCTTGCAGCTTTCAATACCCAAGACATCGCAACACAAAATATTATGCCCTCACCAGTAAAAGCGAAACCGAAACAGAAGAAAAAAATAGTTGCAACTAAATCACCGATGAAAAAGATCAACAAATCACCTGCAAAAAAGGACGGAGACATAAGAGCGCTTTTCAGTACTAACACAAAATCTACGACAAGTTATACAAAACTAATCAATGATTTAGGTGTACCTAACGATGGTAGTATACCTACGCGACTGATCAATTTGTTAGTGGATTTGAATCTAGAAAATTCTAATACAGAAAAGGAATGTTACATTTGCCAAAACATATGCGATTGTAACTTGATGTTGAATTTACGAAAACACAGAAAGAAGCCAAACTTTCCATTAAAATTTATTACCGATCCCCAACTACCTGACCTTGATTTAATCGATGAATTTGACGTGGAAACTGTGCTAAAATGCGCCAAAAATGACACGATTATGAACCTTGATGAAGACATGGATCTACCACCTATTTCTTTAAGAAATAACATTGATTTGAATGAAACTAATATTGGAACTTTACACAATCAAAGTATAAAATCTAACGACAAACACAATAGCAGCAATAATTTCGATCTGGAATTTGATTTCGGATCACCGAATTCTGTATGTATTATAGAAAAAACACCCGAAAAAATCAAGGATGTAGCAGAGAACAATAATAACAATTTTGATTTGGAGTTCGATTTTGATTCTTTAGATAACTTTAACACGCCTGTAACCCAAGAGCAACCAGAAAAAGTCAAACTGGACACTGTGGAGATCAAACCGGAGAAAATTGTAGTAAAGGAAGATTTAGATAAGAACTTTGAAATCGGAGATATTGAAGATATATTTGCAGAAAGTAGTCCCGAAGAGGTAGCACCACAACCTAGTCAAGTTAAAGAAGAAGAAAAATGTGAACAGCCAAAAGAAGCCTTGGGATTCTTTGGGCTGGATAGTATCGATGATATATTTGCAGATTATGACGATAGTATTGAAGTTAAGCCGGATGGGGACAGCAAAGCGACTACTAACGATAAAAGCCAAGTAATAAAACTTGAAGATGAAAAGCCTAATCTTTTTGACGTTAACCGTAATGGTGTGAAGTCTGATTCAAATGTAGTGAAGCCATATGAAAGCAAACATGAGGTCGAGCCTCCTCGCACCTCCGAATATCCTGTCAGTCCCTCAATTTTGTCGGGCAGGCAGAGAAATAATATTCCCTCCTCGCCAATACTTTGCACGCAAAAACGAAGATTTCAGCTAAGTACAAGAAAAGGCATGAGCTCAACACCCGCTAGCAATGCTAGAAGGCAATTAATTAAAAGCCCAGGAGATGTCAGTACCGTAGTTAACGAATCGAAGACTAACGTTTTACAAGAAAGCAACGATAAAAGCATGTTCACAATAACTCAACTCATTCAAATGATCAATAACCCAGATGACAAATCTAAATGCAATCAATCATCTTTTATGAAAACCAATAACGATGTCAACATAAGAAATGATGAGGAGAGGAGCACATCACCGATACTTCTAACTCAAGCTGATAGAAAAAAAGCAAATAATGCAACCGATACTAAAATAACAACTACTCAAACGAATAAAAGCGTGAGTCTCATTGTATTGGACAGCGACAGTGATTCATGTAATGAAACACAGGAATACGAGTTGGACGAAGAAATAAAAATTGGTGCATCGACCAAAAATGAGACAACAACTGCAAGTCCTGTCAATTCCAAAAGAAAATTGGACGTTGAAGATGATTTTATATCGGCATCGCCGTATTTTAATAAGAAGCCAAAATTGGACAACAATAAATCGAAACCACTCACTTTGCAGGAAAAGGTTTTAGCTGCGTTGAAATCCAATAAAACTGACATACCAAATAATTCCAATGATCGTATAGTTAATTTCAGCTTTTCTCCCCGAAAAGCATTTTCCCAAAAGGAAAATAAAGATCCCCAAGTTCTGAATGGATCACAGTGTGGCAGTGACGATGAGAAGGAGTACGTTCGGAAAAGCAATTTAGAAATGTTACAAATATTCAGACGAGACAGTAAAATCCAGAGCCCCAAAGATAAATTCAATCTTATAACTTTGAACACAAATGGTGTGACTAAATCTCAAAAAAGGAAACTTACATTTGATGATAGCGATGACGACTTCGTTGATGCTGACAAAAGTAGTCGAAATCAAAAACCGGTTAACGGAGTTGATAGTAAATCCTCAGCCAACTACAAAAAACGGAAGGTAAGTAATCGCACACGAAAAAAGGTTACGAAATGTCCCTTTGACTACAGACAGACAGGTAATTTACTACCGCCATGTTAATTTTGTGTCACGCCGCAAAACTATTTAGATGGGAGCTCTATCCAATTCTGATTGAGTATATTATCTATACTTATAATAAATCTGTATATTTTTTCAAAATAACTATCAGGGGGTGATTAGTGACCGATACTGATGCCAAAAATGCAATCAGTAAAATTTTTGTCTGTCTGTCTGTCTGTATGTTCCTTATAGAAACAAAAACTACTCGACGGATTTTAACGAAACTTGATACAATTATTCTTCATACTCCTGGGCAGGTTATAGTATACTTAGGAGTATCCCACGGGAACAGGAATAAGCGGGAAAATCCTTTTGTATGAAAAATCTAAACCGCTTAAGTTAGACTTGAAATTTGGCATGCAGGTACCTTAGTAAACTTAAAGCTTGGTTACAAGAGGATATTGCAAAATTCCCACGGGCACGGGAGTTAGCGGGAAAAAACATTTGTATGATAAAATCTAAACAGCGTAAGATAGATGAAGGGGGTAAAACGGGATCCACGCGTACGAAGTCGCGGGCGGCCGCTAGTTACTAATAAAATCAATAATTTTCAGAAAAAGAAGCAAAAACAAAGCAGTTTTCTTGATCTGGAAGCGGAGCTGTCAGACTCCGCTAGCGGAGACGAGCTGTCCGACTCGAGCGCAGGCAGCATCGTGGACTTCATCTGCGACGACAATGACGTCACGCACCATGTCGACATGCAGGCGCATTACATGCGATCTGTCAAGTAAGTACAAAATAGAGATTTCGAATATTAGCACTGAAAAGATAAATAGGCGTAGATTGAAGCCTGTTTTGGTCGTATTGGAATATTCGCGGTTTTATTGTCTGTGATTATTTTACAAGCCATAAATTTATATGTAACTAGCTTTTGCCCGCGGCTTCACCCGCGTGAAATTTAGTTTGTCACAGATCGTCATAAACTATAGCTTAGTTATTCCGGGTTATAAACAATAATACTGTAAAGTTTCATCAAAATCCGTTCAGTAGTTTTGCGTGAAAGAGTAACCAACATCCACACAAACTTTCACGTTTATAATATTAGTAGTATTAATAATATTTTGTGCATGTTTCTCTTTCAGAAGTCCAGTAAAAGGTGTATTCAAAATTCCCGAGCTACCAAAGAAATATAATAACATGGAAGTGTTTTCGCAGTATGTAGAAGAAGATAATTATGAAATGGTACTTACATTATTCTTCAGTTTTTATTATACAGAACTCAACACTTTATTGCATTTGTGTATTTATACTTGCTGTTGTCTTATTTACAGGATAGTTTTTGTGTTGATTCACACATCGGTTTGACGCAAGTAAATGATGAAATATCAGAACTGGAGTTAGCTGAAATAGTTTTAGAAGAGAAGAGGCGAAAAAAGAAACCTAAATCGCAAAATAACGAAGACAATGGAGACAGCCCTATAGTGAGGAGGAAAAATAAAAACGCGAGGCAAATACAGAGTGATTCTGACGACAGTAGTTAGTAAAGAAATGACTATCTAAGTCCAGCTGGTTTGGACTGCCAATTTTATTAATGCTGTGATAATAAATTATAGTGTAATTTTAAATACGTTAATATTATGTGCCTAAAATATTCTCAGTTACTATTTTGTGAATTCATTTTATTTATTGTTCAATTTATTTACTGCATCCTCATGTAAATATAAATGTAACTTTAAGTTTTAATTTTAATCGTGTCATGAAACGTGATTTTAATGATGAAAAAAAAAAACAATGTCCATTTTTTATTTTATTTAATTTATATTCAATTACATTTCATTGTATTTTGTTGATAGGTCTTGTTTAGAGTTGTTAAACGGGGGGTCATTGCAAAGCTCACTTTAATACAATTCTGTATGTACTGTTCACTGCGCCCGTAACACTGAACTTTGTATCCGACTATTATAGCATTATATAAATTATTATGGAACACTTTAATCTTTTACTATATCCTATACATTATTCTTCTATCGCCTTTTGTTCGGGCTGCTTAGGTTGCCTTCCCTTGTGGATTTCCTCGAGTTCTGCTTGGAGGTCACTGTATTTCTTTTGGAGTTGTTTCTCACGGTCCGTCTGACGATTCACGTCTTCTGTTAGAGACTGAAAAACGAAAAACATTAATGAATATCTCTGTAATATCATGGCTATTCTTACCTCAATAAAGTTTTATTTAAAATTTTGTAAAGAGCTGGTTTAAAAATAGTTACCTCTATCCTACGTGGAATGGCAGCCTTCTCCTGATCAGCCAAGAACTTGAACGTGGACAGTTCCAAATTGGCTTGTTCTATCTGGTCCTGTAACTCCTGGAACTGCTTTACGAGCGACGCCGCTCTGCTTTGGTAACCACCTGCGAAAATAGATAATTTAATTATTAGTTGATATTTAGACGAGAATCTCGAGGCCAGCTACGTAAAGTCTGGTCGCCGAGCACGTAGAATTTTGTCCAATCGCGCGTAATATCGCTCGTGCGACGGGCGGTAGCAGTGAGTGTGCGTGCTTCAAATAATACACGCTTTTAAGTACAATTTGTTTTTGTTACCTGTGATGACTCGAAGTTTCTTCTCCATCTTTGAACACTTCTTGGCCTCCTTGGCCATGTGATTTCTGTTTTGCTCCAACCTCTTCTCTGCGGATTCTAACCGATCCTTTTTACTGGCCAAATTAGCTCGAGTGTACCTATTTTGTCCGGGCAAGAAGAGTACCTGTAATAAATAATAATTCCACGTCAGTTGGAGCAAATTCCTTGCCGATACTGTTTTAATAAATTGGGTCTAACGAAAAGTAATGAAAATCCGCCTCGAAGGACCGACATTTTTTTTGTGAATGATAGCACTTGTTAAGTAGCTGTAACTGCGTTTATTGACCGAATTATTTTGGACAGAGTTACTTATATGCGTTGCGTATAACGAATGCATGGAATTAGTGAGTAAATGAATGAAATTACTAGTATTCGTAATAAACGTAATAGTACTGTAGCAAATTGGACTTTATTGCTATCGACTAGAATCAAAACCCACCTAGCACTCCTCCCACATTTGCGTGTACGCATCGAGGCTATCTTAAACTGTAGTAAATTAGACCTTGTTACTATCGCCTTAAGAATCAAAACCCACTTGCGCCAAGCACTCCTCCCACACTTGGGTGTACGCATCGAGGCTATCTTAAACTGTAGTAAATTAGACCTTATTACTATCGACTTAAGAACCAATATCGTACCTGCGCCAAGCACTCTTCCCACACTTGCGTATACGCATCCATACTCAAGTCGCCGTGTCCCATACCAGCGCGTACGACTTCCATTTCTTTCTTAAGCTCCTGTTTAGCTGCATCCAGCTCAGACGGTAAGAAGTCTTCGTACGGATGCTGTTCTAAATAGGCCAGGTGGGCTGCCTGTAGCTGCACTATCCGCTTTTTGTCTACGCCTGGAATGAGATTACGATGTTATTTACAACCGGCAATCAAAATCAAAAATATTTATTCAGTTTAGACCACAAGTGGCACTTATGAACGTCAAAATGTACATAATAAAAAAAATTGAGCGGATCAAAAAACGCATCTATTTATCTATCTCTAATACACTACTCGTTTTGATAAAGACTCGAGCAAGTTAGCCGAACGTAAGTTCGAAATTTTAAAAGGAAATGCATTCTATAAACCCTCTAATTCAGGGTTTCCCAATTTTTTTCCCAAGGAACCCTAATTGATTATACTTTTCCTAGCGGAACCCCCGTACTACTCCGCCCGCACGCCCTGCCCCTCCCTTGTTCGTAAACAAGTCGGTGCGTGCGAACAACGTCGGTCACGAAAGGATAATATTTTTACGGAACCCTTGCGGCCTTTCCACGGAACCCCAGGGTTCCGCGGACCACCTTTCGGGAACCGCTGCAGTCTAATTCTATAAACTCGTGAAGTTTATCGCACGAGTACGAATCCAAGTGAAGTTCGTTTCTACACTATCGATTCGATTCAACTTCGCGAGTAGAAAGTGAAGGCTTTTTTACGCGCAATGAGCTATATGGACTAGTAATAAGGTCGAGTATCGTACCGGGCGGCGGGTCTCGCAGCGCATCATAATGCAGCATGGTGACCATTTCAGCTTTGAGCAGTTCCTCAGCTTGCTGCAGCGCGGAAAGCGCACCGCCTCCAGCGCTTGATCCACGTAGTACGCTGACGTTGACTTCTGCTGGCCTGGCTAAGCCACGCTGCACGGCTGTCGAGCGCAGAGCAAGCTCCGCAAGACCTGTCGGACAAAGGATGGTTTACAAGAAACTGTGCGTCGTCGTCCATAAAAGTGACTGGTATACATTGATCGTTCCATGACTCGGGACTATTCCCACCTCACATTCCTACCGCTGCAACTCCTGTGTAGTCAGGACCTATAGCTTGGCCGAACCCAACCAATGAAGGTCATTGCCCGAATCGTTAATGGTGAAGATTGGAATAGCCAGACTCTTCAATGGGAATTATTGGAATATGCCGACATGTCAATGGCGATTATTGGAATAATCCAATTCAAGCTTCTCCTCTAACGCAGAGTGCGCATTTGGGACGGGGAAGAATACCTCTTACTACTAAAAAATCTATAACGAATCCCCGTTGGTGGCAAATAATGATGACAATAGAAACAGTCCGTCTCGTCAAGTAACGGCGCATTAGGGCGTCAGAAGAGCGACGGCAACACGTCAGCGTGTTTATAATGTGAAGGCAGGCACCCGTTGTTATAATTAAAGTCCGGTCGCCGAGCACGTAGAATTTCGTCCCATGACCCCAAGCTGCTCGCTCGCGCGTAATGAGGGCTATCGTTTTAGCGCTCACCAGTTAGCGCCACTGTAGAGTAAGGTCCTGTCATTTGTTAGTAGCGAAGACAGTGGCACCAACTGGTGTGCGCTAAAGTGGTAGGAGGGCTATCACATTTGCACTCATCAAGATGGCGCCACTGTAGAGTAAGGTCCTGTCAATCGCCAGGGGTGCCAACTGTTATGTATAAAAACGATAGCCCTCATTGCTGTCGCGCTCGCACACTCACTGCTGCCGCCCGTCGCACAGTCGCGACAGCAATATAATTACGCGCATGTAGCGCTGCTAAAGTCGCCGAAATGTGAAAGCGCTCTAACAAAAGACTCACGCTTCTCTTCCTGGTCACGTAGAGCGCGCGCAACGGCGTCGGCCTGGTCCTTGCATTTGTCGCGCTCCTAAATAAAGTTTCCGAAATGTGAAAGCGCTCTAACAAAAGACTCACGCTTCTCTTCCTGGTCACGTAGAGCGCGCGTCGGCGTCGGCTTGGTCCTTGCATTTGTCGCGCTCCTAAAGTTTCCGAAATGTGAAAATGTTTTAACAAAAGACTTACGCTCCTCCTCCTGGTCACGTAGAGCGCGCGTCGGCGTCGGCCTGGTCCTTGCATTTGTCGCGCTCCTAAATAAAGTTTCCGAAATGTGAAAGCGCTCTAACAAAAGACTCACGCTTCTCTTCCTGGTCACGTAGAGCGCGCGTCGGCGTCGGCTTAGTCCTTGCATTTGTCGCGCTCCTAAAGTTGCCGAAATGTGAAAGCGCTCTAACAAGACTCACGCTTCTCTTCCTGGTCACGTAGAGCGCGCGTCGGCGTCGGCTTAGTCCTTGCATTTGTCGCGCTCCTAAAGTTTCCGAAATGTGAAAATGTTTTAACAAAAGACGCTTCTCCTCCTGGTCACGTAGAGCGCGCGTCGGCGTCGGCTTGGTCCTTGCATTTGTCGCGCTCCTAAAGTTGCCGAAATGTGAAAGCGCTCTAACAAAAGACTCACGCTTCTCCTCCTGATCGTGTAATGCACGCGCGTCGACGTCGGCTTGGTCCTTGCATTTGTCGCGCTCCTAAAGTTTCCGAAATGTGAAAATGTTTTAACAAAAGACGCTTCTCCTCCTGGTCACGTAGAGCGCGCGTCGGCGTCGGCTTGGTCCTTGCATTTGTCGCGCTCCTAAAGTTGCCGAAATGTGAAAGCGCTCTAACAAAAGACTCACGCTTCTCCTCCTGATCGTGTAATGCACGCGCGTCGACGTCGGCTTGGTCCTTGCATTTGTCGCGCTCCTAAAGTTTCCGAAATGTGAAAATACCCTAAGGCCGGGTTCCCACTATGCCGGACCGGCATTTCTGCCGGAAACCGGACACCGGACAAGGGTGTTCACATTACACCGGATCCGAAATCCGAGCCGAATGAAGCACGCGCGGGGCGGGGCGGGAAGCACGGGCGCGGCGGGGTGGGCCGCAACTCGTTCACATTACTCCGGTCCGGAGATTTTACCGGCATTTTGTAGCGACAAAACGCTCGGTAAAAATGCCGGACTCGGCGAAAAAGCCGGATCCGGGATAATATGAACAGCTTCATACAATTTGTACTGCCGCCAGGCCTTCCGGCGATTTTACCGGACCGGGAGATCTGCCGGTCCGGCATAGTGGGAACCCGGCCTAACTAAAGACTTACGCTTCTCTTCCTGGTCACGTAGAGCGCGCGCATCGGCGTCTGCCTGGTCTTCTAAGGGCGCGGGCGCACGCTCCGCCTCAGCCGAGCCGGCGTCGGCCTCGGGCACGACGATCTCGTAGTCGTTGCGAGGCTGCGGCAGCGACTGCAGCGCTGAGCGGACTGATGCTTTCAGCTGTAGGGAATAGGAGTGATTTTGTCAGTTTAGGTCATTAATTGCCATGATTAGAAAATAAAAA